AAAAGAAATATCTGAAAATTACGATATAGGAAAGGAAAAACAAAACATTAGAGAAATTACATTTCTAAGAGAATTTCTCAGGTTGGCATCATGAATTTTGCCGAAAGCCAGAAAAATGCAGGTCATTGAGTCATAATGAATTTGAGTTGTCTTACACTAGAACAACCCTGACCCTCCACATAGTCTTTCAAGATCACACATCCCACTTTCCATGGTTCCTGAAATTCTTACTCTTCCTATCACAGGCTTAAGACAAGCATACGCACAGGCTCTGAGGCAGTATTTTAGAATATGGTTTTCTGTTGTTTCTTATAATTTTATCTCCCATTGAAATCTACAAGTCTCTACCATCTTGACACGGGAGAACTTTTCCAAAGACCAATACGTGGGCCAATCATCTGCATATCATTGAAAGGAGTGCGTTTTTCTCCATCCAGAGGCATCATATGCTCTGCTAACTGTAAAGTGGGCCCATGCTCGAGGTCAAAGACGAGGCTGTTTCTTACACAACCCAGGTCAAACCGGCATGCCAACTACTCAAAATGAAGAACAGCAGTGTTCAAATGGTCCTGATGGGCCATGGTTCAAGAGAAGAGAGCCTCTCCTCATGTGCCACCGTGAACCAGTATCTGCCACAGAAACTACCAAAGTTCAAGTGAACTAAACCAAATAGCCACAACGACAAGTAAATAATCAATTAAACAACTAATTAAACAATTAAATCTTTTACATGTAATTGATTAGTGTACATCATGTGTACATGTGGAAGTCAGAAGACAACTTGCAGGGAAAGTTCCCCTCCTTCCAGCATGTGGGTTCCAGGGACTGAATCTACCACATCGCAGACCTGTTGGAAAGGGCTTTTTCACCTGCTGAACCGTTTCATGGGCCCCTAGAAATTTAAACCTATCAAAACAGCCAACGCATACACGGAAGTTCTAGAACATTGGTAGCCACCAATACATGAACTTTGTTGTCAGGTTCATTAGGTTTCATACAGATCTCAGAACAAAATCATTCCTGCTATCTCTAGACACATGCTTCAAACTGGTTCATGACTATGAAAACTGCAGTTCTGCATTGTTTTGGGGAGGAGGTTAATTCAGATGTGTGAAAATTCACTCACGTAATTTGGTACAAACAGGATAGAACTAAAGCCAATGTGAGCTGCACTCAGATACCAAGCAGTGCTTAAACACTTCAGTTTCGAACAGGCTGCCACCTTGGCAAAAGAAAGCAATAATAAGTGTAATAAGTGTGCAAGTGACTTCTTACATTTGGAAAGCATTCCATTATTGACAGTGTTTCTAGGACCAGTGTCATTGAATATTAAGTGTGCAAGGCAAGCTGTTACCATCTTCCTCTGTCTCCCTTGTTTTTCTATAAACTGGCACTAACGGTAGACACTGTACTTGCTTTAAAGGATTTATGTTTTGTTTCGTGTTTTGGGCACATGTATTTGGTGATGGTGTGTTAACTACTGACTGGTATCAAGAGGCATACAATATCTACTTTTTCCATTTTTAGCAAGGCCACCATTGATAGTTGATTTCCAGAGGCCTCATTCCATGAATTTCCCACACATTCACCTGATCATTTTAGTAACTATTGATGATAGTTCCCTAAATCCACTGACTCTATGGAGATTTAAGTAGTAGCAATCTAACCCTTTTTTCTCTTGATTTATTTTTATTTTTAGTTACGTGTCTGTGGGATGGAGAGACATCTCAGTGTTTAAGAGCACATACTGTTTGCTCTTGCAGAGGGCCTGAATTCAGTTCCCAGGATCCATGTTGGATGGCTCAAAGCCACCTACAACTCTAGCTCCAGGGAATCTAAGGCCTCGGGCCTCCAAGAGCATCTGCACACACACACACACACACACACACACACACACATTTCTTCTTCTTCTTCTTCTTCTTCTTCTTCTTCTTCTTCTTCTTCTTCTTCTTCTTCTTCATTGTCTCTCTCTTTCTCACACATATAATTAAAATACCAAAGATAAATATTTTTAAACTATAACTGTGTTTATGTGACTGTATATATGTGTAGATAGGTATTCAAGGGTGCAAATACTCAAAGAAACCAGAGAGGGCATCTCAATGTGGAGTTGCCAGCGAGTTATGAGCCATCTGACATTGGTACTGAGAAACAAACTCAGGTCTTCTGCAAAAGGACTACGTTCTCTTAACTACTGAGAATCTCTTGAGTTCCTCTCCTGAATTTCCAAGCTGTTCTTCTCTTACAAGTGAGAACTTTGTCTCATTGGCTATTCATTTATCCTGAAATCAATCAAACCCAGATTGTGGAGAAAATATATGGGAGAAATAATCCAGTTTCTTTAGCAAATAAATGTGGTTTAAAAAACAAAGAGAAGGTGATGACTGTTGTAGATTAAACTGGACTTAGAAAGTGCACATGTGATTGATTCTTAATTTTAACCTCAATCAAAATGCAGCTGTTTCTGGTTGGGGTTTATTAAGGACACATTTGAGGGACTGAAGGGTATAGCTTGATTGTAGAACACTTGCATATCATGCATGAGGCCCTGGATTCTACCCTCACCAGCACAAAAGAAAATGTTTTATATAATCAGAAAAATTGAAAACTAACTGTATATTAGATGTTAAGTATGGTTTTGGTAAGAGTCTTGTTATTGTAAGAGTCTTTTTTATGGTCTATTTAACTTTATTTTATATACATTGGTGTGAAGGTGTCAGATTCCCTGCAACTGGATCTTCAGACAGTTGTGAGCTGCCACGTGGGTGCTGGGAACTGAACCCAGGTCCTCTGGAAGAGCAGTCAGTGCTCTCAACCACTGAGCCACCTCTCCAGCCCCTTGTAAGAGTCTTTTATATTAGCTCAGACAATGAAATATTCACAGTGAAAAGATACGTTTTAGCTATGCTATAAAATATTTTAGCCTCCAAAAAGGAAAGGTTTAAATTTGATAAAAAAATAGCACAAAGTTGAGGGTATTGATGTTAGGTTCATAAATACATAGGTGCTTATTGCTCATTTTCATTTTAAGTGGTAGTTTTCTTCATGAAAAAATATTAGAAAAAATAAGTCAATTGTTTGTCTAAGTCCAGGAATGGGTGAAAAATAAAATAGTTACCATTTGCAAAGATGCATCATCGTGTGAATCAAAATCATCCACCACTCCACAGAGGGTGTAAATTACATATGGACGACAGTCTCCTTCTTACTTTGAAATAACATCTAAAGTATTTGGAAGACTATCATAATAGTCCTGTAATTGAGAATAATCGTCTTAAAATCTGGCTTTAAACATCGAGTACTCCATCCACATTGAAGAGGGGCTGATTGAATTGCACCATCATTGTGTCTCACATTATGAGATGGCTCAATAGCATGTTGCTACTTCATCATCCAACACAGACACACAGCTGCCTCTGGAACTAAAACTTTCCTTCTGAGTGAGAATCCTTTCAACAACCAAAGATTTTTCTTGCCACCTATCACTGTCTACACTTAAGAGGTCAGGAATCTATAGTTTTCAGGCCAGCTCGTCACATACTTCATCTAAAGCTGCTTTTCCAGGTACACAATCCCAAAATCCCAAAAAAGAGAAACTATCCTGGGATACCTGTTTAAAATCCAGATTCCTGGGGCTAGAGAGATGGCTCAGTTGTCAAAAGCACTAGTTGCTTTTGCAGAGGGTCCAAGTTTGGTTCCCAGTGTCAGTTCACAACTGTCTATGAATCTAATTCCATGGAGATCCAATGCCCACCTCTAATATCCATAGGTACCAGGCACCCACATGGTACACATTTATATATACATGCCAATAAAACAATCAAACTACAAAAATAAATCAATATTTTATGAAAGAAAAGAAAATAAAGATTCATGACCCCTGCAGACCTACTACACCACACTCTGTGGAGGAGGTGGAGTTTGGTGTCTGTATTTTCAACAGGCCTACGGAGATGTGGCAAGTGTCACCCGTCGTGTGCAGTAATAAATAGCTTAGCATCATATACGCTTACCCACTGTCAAATTCTATTTTCACTTAGCGAATTTCTAAAGGATCACTACTTCTCTCGAGGTGAATTTGTTGTTTCTTCTGTGGGTTTTTTTTCTATATGTGTCAATGAACATGGAAGAGACCTTAAACAGCTGCAGCTTTTTGTGGCAATCTAGATGTTTCTCTGGGGTAGAAGTGGAAATTAGATGCTATATTTTATTACTAGGGCTTCATTAGGTGCCTTTGAAAAGAAACTTAATGCCTGGAAATCAGGACAGAACCTGAATAATAACATATTTTTGTTTTTACCACAGCACAGCAATTAGCTTTAGTGGATTGTTTTTATAAATTTGTTCACCTTTCATTTTCTGTATCAAATCTAAATGGCTTAATGAACATAAAACACATGAGCATTTTTAGGACTTTTTTTTTTCACTGTAGTCCTACGCTAGCAAAGCTCCAAACCCTAAACATTCTTTCAAAGAAGAAACACGTCATCTTTTCTAAAGTTGTTTTATCCATTTAATTTTCCTCCAGCTCTCAAAGCAGTCTTGTCTTTTCAACACAGGTAATTTGGTCTGTTGCCAGCAAACAACTTGCTGACTGAAAAAAAAAAATAGACCAGAAAGGAAAAAATAATGCTGCAGAAGGCCAAAAATGAACTGGGGGGAAAGTATTTATGTAGAAATCTCAGGAAATAACATCATTACTAACTAGTTCTTAAAACTAATAAACAACCTAGGTTCTCTGAGGAAACAGCATGGAGAAATAAAAAAAACATGGGGGTAAATTAGGGGCATAAAACATTGGGTATTTGTTGTCATCTCAGCAAGCGAATTACCCCGGACAATGATGTAGGCCAACTCAGCAAAAAGGGCGCTGCAATTTTCCCTCACTGTTTAGCTGTAACTTTCTTTAAAAGCAATTTTCCAAGCACATGAAAAATGGAAGCCCTTCTAATTTATAGCAAAAACAAAGGCCACAGTAAAATGCACATGAAAGTTCTTACTTCTTCCTCTCAGAACCTAATATCCTAAATAAATCTTTAAAGTATTGTGGGACGCGGACCACCACATTCTCCGAGGGACCGATGTCTTTCAAGTGTGGGTAGAGTCTGGTATCAATGACCTTCTTGATATAGCCCAGCCAGTCAAACTGAGGAGAGAGAAAACAAACGAAACCTATGGTAAGGCAGCAAGTAAGAGAAAACGGCATTCAGATAGAGTAGGCTGAGCATAATCCACTCCATCCAAATCATTAAAGATAAAACTGCGCATCATTTGCTTATCCAGAAGCCAAAGTCAGATCATTGCCACTTAGCCCTGTGGCTTTCATCACAAATGGCGCCTGTGTTCTGCAGCACAGACTTCTGGATAGTAAACACTCTCGTGCTTTAATATATGATGCACTCCCTCAGCTGCCCCAGCCCTCCTCACCCTCCGTTTCCTCTCTATCTGATTCCCTCAGTCCCACCTCATTCCAAGCCCTGCTCTTCTGTTGGCTTGGGTCACTCCTCTACTTCTCTGCACTCCCTCCTTCAGGCTTCTCCCCCTACCTCTCACTTTCCCCTCTCCTTCCCCTAAACACAGATGGAGAAGCCTTAGCACACCTTGGATCTTCTTCTCTGTGCAACCTCCCTGATTCCAGGAGGGGGGAAACACAACAGAATAGCTCACCTCCATTCTATAGAGCATCATTGCATGTTTCTAAAACAAACACAGTTTTGTGCTTTGTATCACTAAAGGCCATCTGCTGACTTCTTCCTCCTTTGTCTGCCTCCACTAGTGAACCTGAAAGCCAGTGACTTACTTGTTTAGCTCCCACTTCCCTACCTCTTGCCCCACAGCAGGGATGGTCACGTGGCCCAATTCTACTAAAAGCAAGTCATCTAGGAATACGCTAAAAGGGGGCTTTTCTGTTTACCTTGGTAAAAATAAACAAGTCAGATGGGACCGTGGGCCCTTCCCCCTTCTCCTGGATCTAGTGAGGAAGAGCTACAGTGGTCACTTTGTGGCCGTGTCATCAAAATGAACTAAAAAGCCCGAGGAGGGTAAAATGTAGAGATAAAGTCTATGCAATGCTAAACAGCTGAACCAGCACCAAAGAGTGCCCATGGCTGTGTTGTAAGAAAATGGCCTTACCAGCTGGACCTGGACTGAAGGAGCTGTTATCAAACCGGACTCTCTGAATGTGGCTGACAATGAGGGCTGACTGAGAAGCCAAGGACAATGGCACTGGGTTTTGATCCTACTGCATGCATTGGCTTTGTGGGAGCCTAGTCTGTCTGGATGCTCACCTTCCTAGACCTGGATGGAGGGGGGAGGACCTTGGACTTCCCACAGGGCAGGGAACCCTGACTGCTCTCTTAGGACTGGAGATGGATGGGGAGGGGGTGAGTGGGAGGTAAATGGAGGGGAGGAGGTGGAAATTTTTAATAAATAATTTTTTTAAAAAAAGAAAATGGTCTTACCAACTTAACCACTATCAGAAAGCTATTAGTATTCCCTGCATACAACTGAAGAAATCCCACTGTACATACAAGGATATTCTATATGATAGTAAAAGAGAAAGATAATCAAAATGATAAATAGTAAAAGTTCATATTTACAAGGCTAACTTTTATACACAGATGAAACATAATCCCTTGTAAAGTATCAGGCAACAGAGTTGTTTTTTTTCAGAGAGTTTTCACCAACCTGGGGAATCATTGCACTGAGTTCTGAGATGTTCATTTTGTTATACATAGCCTCACTGGTTCGGTTTTCATGTGGAATCATTATCTGTCAAAAAGAGATTTAGGTTAGTTTTTCAAATAAATCATTTATTATTGCATGACTGCTTCTCGCATGTGCCAAAACATCTGTATATTATTATCAGCTTTTTCAAGAATTTGGTGTGATGCCCAGCTGTGGGGAGAAATAAAAAAAAAATGCCAGAATTTTAGACAGGATTAAGAAAATAAAAAGAAATTTAGATATCCTCTTCAGTAGGAAATATTGTCACCAGTACAAAAAGAAGTTCCCATAATGCCCTTCTCCTTTACCATGTGGATGGGCCAAGTCCATTGCTGGCTCAGTTTTGACCACCAAGCTGAAGTTGCACAATTATGGTCAACATTCCATGTTTACCTAAGGTATCCTGATAATGATCTCAGCTCATTCACCTCTAGGGGACAATGGTCAATGACAAAAAGGAAGCAATGTGCATATCATTGGTACCCAGGATCAGTTTTCTTATTTTTTTGACCTTCAGATTTCCCACTGCTGGTGGTATGAATTTGGTCGCCACCTAAGCAGACAACTCACAAACTTCTAGCCTCTACCATATAAATCTAAGACCTGCAAAAATGACTCTTCCTCAAGTCATCTTAATCCCTTCCATTGACCAGCCATAGCTCCCTTCCCCACATTATCACTTGACTTTTCTATCTTTCTACTCCCTTGCACCCTTCTAGCCATCTTCTGCCTCACCCAGCTCTCCTGTCCTCACACCTCCTGCCCACTATCACCATCTCCATGGCTAAGACTGATTGAAAACTCGGCCTGAGGTTTCTGTTCTCTAGAAGCCTTTTCAATTGACCTCTACTTCGTTCTAATCGCCAGGACGACTCCATGAACAAGTCCTCTCTCTCCTTGATCAGTCTCTCAGACAGGGATTGGGTGGCTGCCTATTTTGTAGCTATCTTTATTTATTTGGATTTGATGAGGTATTTTTTTTTCCTTCTCAGCCTCAGAGACTCCCAAAATCTGTGTATCTCAGTAGTTTTAGACGTGACGAGTCACCTGAAGACTAAGAAAATGAGAGAAACCTTCTGACCAGGCAAAAACTCCATGCACCACAGATATTTCAAGACAAAATCACAGAAGATGAATGGCAGGCAATTGTCCCTCTCTTCTAAGTCCTTCGGGGTCTTAATGTCTCCCCACTCTCCACTGGAGAGATGATAAGCCCCTTACAGTTTCCTTTCTGTCTGTGAATTCTAAACCATTTCCTTGGAGGATTTTTATATATCTCTCCCATCCTCCTCCTTTCTGGACTCAGAATCCTAGCTCCAGGTTGAAACCTTTTGGCCTCAAAACTGTTTCCAGCTCTCTCGCAGCTGATCCCCTCCACACAGTGGATTTGCCACTTCATTCACCCTCACAACAACTCTGTCTTGCCTCTGTCCAGCTGTTTATAGATTTCTTTTTGGTCTAACTCTCTGGCTCAAGGCAAAACCCTTTCATGCTATTGATCCCACCTTCAGCTCAAATTAGCATACTGGGGCCCCTATTTGCTTGGGAATGGAATTCAGACAGTGTGTAGACATAGCTTATAGGCACATCTGCAACAATCTTCACAACATTCGAGGGACATGCAGTAGTGAACTTTTAAAAGTGAAGTTGGGGTTCATTAATAATATGTTTAAAGAGGAGGGTGAGTGGGGGAGCAGGAGGGGAATGGGAGGAGGGTAGGAAGTGTAAATTTTTAAATGGGAAGGAAGAAAGAAAGAAAGAAAGAAAGAAAGGAAGGAAGGAAGGATATGTTTAAATACAGAGTGAAGCAGGAAGACGCAAAGGGGAAAATCTTAAGGACAGTATTATATGCCCTACAGTAAGTACAGGCTTGACAGAAGAGTTTTCATAAATGAACTAGAAGGGCACACATATGCCACCGTGCATGTAAGTAAATGAGAGGATAACTTTGGGTCCTTACTTACTTTGTTTGAGGCAGGGTGGGTCTCTTTTTTCTACCACTGCACTATGTATACCCAGCTAGCTGGTTCACGAGCTTCCCAGAATTCTCTTGTTTTCACCTTCCATCTCAAAGTAGAAGCACTAATATAAGAGATAGATAGGTACCACTACGCCTGGCCTTACATGCATTCTGGTCCTCATGCTTATCCGGTAAGTGTGTTTTGCCTACTGAGTCATCCACCTAGCCCCTAGAAAGGAACTTTCTATTGTGAGTAGGGATTTGGAAAAAGATATATGTGAACATCATCACTGTAAGGAGAGACCTAATTCCTCCAACCCTACCCTTCATCCTAACTCCATATCTCAACATACCACCACCAGTTTACAAACACAAAGCCAATAAACACCTGGACCTCAGAATTTTTATTGACTTCTATAATAAATGATCACTGAGTTCTCCCATAAGCAAATGTCACTGTATTTACTATCTCTGGATGTAAGAACATTTAGGGATTTTACACACTGTTTCTTCTAGAAACCCTTTCCGTCTCTAACATGAGCCAGAAAGAATTTAAGGTGATTTTATTCAGAATATAGTATAGGTCACTATCATTAAATGATTAAAGGAGAAAGAGAGAGAGAGAGAGAGAGAGAGAGAGAGAGAACAATGTATGGGCATGGTGGCACACATCTTTAATTCCAACACTCCAGGATGCAGAGGCAAGTAGATCTCGAGCCTTTTCTACCTGGAAAGTTCCAGGACAGCTGTAGCTACCCAGTGAGATTTTTGTCTTAAAAAACGGGAGGAATGTAAAACTAAAGCACGGTAATGCAATAGAGCACCAGCAAGGCAGTTTTACAGTTTTAAGTTTCTGCATCAAACTTCACATTCAATATTGATAGATAATCTTTTCTAAGATCAAATTTTATCAGTCACACAGAGTAGGTATAATACAAAAATGCGGGCTGGGTTAAAAATTACCTTCCAGGACTGGGGGTGGTAGCATACTTAGCATATGTGAAGCCCTGCATTCAACTCCCAGTTCCAGAAAGAAAAGTAAAGAAAAGAAAAGAAAAGAAAAGAAAAGAAAGAGAGAAGGAGGAAGGGAGGGAGGGGGAGTGAGGGAGGGGGAGGGAGGGAGGAAGGGAGGGAGGGAGAGAGGGAGGGAGGGAGGGAGGGAGGGAGGAAGGGAGGGAGGGAGGAAGGGAGGGAGGGAGGAAGGGAGGGAGGGAGGAAGAGAGAAACCCAACTTTCAATGAGATGAGTATCTATTGAACATCTGTCTTGTATTTGAGCCATATAAGAATTTCTCTGAGACCCACATGGGAGCACCGGACAGAAATCTCAAGGTCCAAATCAGGAGCAGAAGGAGAGAGAGCACGAGCAAGGAACTTGGGACCGCGAGGGGTGCACCCATACACTGAGACAATGGGGATGTTCTATCAGGAACTCACCAAGGCCAGCTGGCCTGGGTCTGAAAAAGCATGGGATAAAACCGGACTCGCTGAACATAGCAGACAATGAGGACTACTGAGAACTCAAGAACAATGGCAAGGGGGTTTTGATCCTACGGCATGTACTGGCTTTGTGGGAGCCTAGGCAGTTTGGATGCTCACCTTTCTAGACTTGGATGGAGGTGGGGGTTCCTTGGACTTCCCACAGTGCAGGGAACCCTGATTGCTCTTTGGGCTGATGAGGGACAGGGACTTGATTGGGGGAGGGGGAGGGAAAATTGGAGGCGGTGGCGGGGAAGAGACAGAAATCTTAAATAAATAAATTTTAAAAAAAAAAGAATTTCTCTGAGAAAACAGGTTTCCTTGCTGGCATACTTTAATCACAGTAAAGTAGCACATAGATATTGACTGGGCTTAACCCAGAGAAATAGAAGAAATGAGGAGCTCTTAATTCCAATAGTTTTTTTTTCTTCCCAAAGAGGATGCAATTTCTACCTTGGACCCAGAAGGCAGTGACACAGAAGGTTACCATTTGGTTGCAATTTATATTTTCATTCAGCATGTAGTGTTTACAAAATACGGGAAAGAAAACGGGAACGGCAACAAAAAAGAAAAGGTTTGTAGTTAAGACTTACCTCAGCTATCTTAATTTCCAGTCTAAGCACTGACTTCATGTCATGTTCAGCTCGAGAGCTATTAGCTCCTAAAAGCACCGCAGTGTCCACCATGAACTTATAAAGGGCATCCCGATACTGTAAGAGATAAAGAAGCAAGTGGCCATGACAACAGCCTACTAGGAAGTACGTTTCAGAGATATGGAAGCGCCGAAACAGTAGGTGGCAATAAGCTTCCTTCATGTTCACTCTGTATCGGAGTATGATACCAGTATTATGCAATGACAGTCACCTACCTGCCACTCTGAGAGAAAAAATAAGTGATGAGTGCACAGGTACTATTTCTGTGACAGATAGAGTTGCCCAGGCATCAAACAGCAAGCAAACTAGCTTTCTGGCAACTGGTGATATTATGGATAAAAGAAACATCTCCAAATGAGTCCAGAATAGAAATGTAAAGGTCGGGTGTCTCCTTCCCAGGCAAGCGATGCTTTAGTAGAGGAATGGGAACGAAGTGAGTCTAAAAGCAGAGGACCTGACCCATGAACACTAACACAAAGTGCAATTTATTCCCATCCAGCTCCATTTACCCAGCTTCCCACTAAGAAATAAAGGATGATTATGGTGGTTGGAGTCCTGTGTCTTTTCAGTTTCGGCTTCCCTAGAGTTGTCCTCCCTATCTCAGGGGGAACAGGAAAAAGGATGATGAGAAACCAACAACTTAGCAAATACAGAATTTCATCTCCAAGGTAACTATGACCCTGCAAGCTATTCTTACTGCGGGACTCACCTTAAGACCTGTATGTTTCTTGGTAGATAGCCAGCCTTTTAATAAATTGAATGAAATTCAGTCAGCAAGTCTGGCTAATAGTATTAATTGGAAAGAATGGTTTGCCCTTCCCAAGTCTACTAAAACGTGTTCAACGACTCAGTACACGTTCAAGGTGGCTTGCTCAGCAGGTTGTACGACGGGGAAAAGGCATACAAATGAAAACCTAAATGATGCTTGAGACTGTTTCTCAGTCTGTGCCCTAGTGATGAAGAACACATAAAATGTTTCTTAATAGACTACTGCATGCATGGAAGCTGAAGAACTGGAAGATTCCAACCCAGAAAACCTGGAGATATACTACTTGAGAGACACGGGGTTTGGGAACAGTACGAGATAGGTCCTTCTCTTGAAGGAAGAACAAAAACAGGCAAGTTAGGAGAGATAGGCTGAAAACAGGCAATGAAGAGGCCTTAAACTTCTTCAAAGGAATTTAGAGTCTATCTTGAGAGTGAGATATACTCTTATGTATTTTTGGATGTGAACCTAGCCTTTAACAGCTAAGCCATCTCTCCAGCCCAGGCTCTATATTGAGAACAAGATATACTGGGAGTGGTGGTGTGGAAGCAAAATTTTCCACGTGGTGCTAAACGGCTATTGAGGTGAAGGTGGTCACAACTAAGTATGAATGGCTGTAGTTAAGGCAAGAATGGACAGAAATGTGATCTAGGACAGTAGGGCTAGGAAGGAGGGACCTTCTGGAGGAAGAATTACTTGCAAAGGTGGCATCATTTGGACTTGGTTAACTACTTATAGGGAAAGGATATGATCTTGAGTCTGCTTGCTAAGATGACAGATTCCCTAGTCTGGCAAGGTTGACTCAAGAAGGAACACTTGGAAGCCCCCTTAGATGAGTGTCCACTGACTGGCAGAGGCCTAAGTGTGTGGCTAGTCTGCAGAGCCTTCCACATATAGAGGCTACAGCATAGGCCCAGGAGACCTGGCCATGAGGCTTGTTTGGAGGACAAAATGTCCAAAGTGAATTCAAATTATTAAAATGACCTAGCCCTGTCCAGTGTCCAGGAAACTCCCGTTTCCAAGCTGAGTCTAAAACTCTAACCTGATACATCCTTTTTGTTTCTCATTACCCATCATTAATCATCATTAACCCAGAGCACATGCTAAAAATAGAGTCCCAGATCCCATCTTGTCTGCTAAATCAAAATCACCATGACTGGATCCATATATGAAATTTCCAGGGTGATTTTTGTAAGCCAATACAGTTTCGAGTGTCCTCCAGCTTGGAAAATTATAGTGAATGGTTGTTCATGAATTTGCTCATCTGAGGATTGGCTGCAAACTCGTATCTTGGTTATTTCATTTGGGTATGCTATCTCATCAAGGTGATGGGGTCACTGAACAGGGAACTTACACAACCTTGATGTTCCTGCTTCTACAAGACAGGAAGTAGAACTATGTGTTGAAAACCAGTGATTCTCAACCTTCCTAATGCTGTGACGTTGTAATACAGTTCCTCAGGTTGTAGTGACCCCAAACATAAAATTATTTCCTTCCTAGCTCATTACTGTAATTTTGCTGTTATGAATTGTAATGTAAACATCTAATTGACAAGAGTTGATATGCAATCCCCAATAGAGTCGAGACCCTCAGGTTGAGAACCACCGGCCTAAACAAACACTCTCTGCCTTGCTACACTGGGAATGTGTTCAGTGAAGTTATGGTGATGGTTTCCAGGACAGAAGCTGACATCTTATAGTAATTGATGACCCAAACAACCTCCAGGCAAGACATGTAGCTAAATATGAGTAAAACTCACAGATTTGGCCTCTGTACTGTTATCAAGGAAGTCTTCCCTCACAGCCAGGGAGAGTGTTGCTTGGTCCAGCTGTTAAAACAAAAAGAGAAAGAAAAAATAATAAGACAGACAAACAGAGAAAGCATGGCATGGACATTTGAAATGGTTGTGTAGCATGTTAACAAGAGTCATGGGCTCCCTGGCAGCCCAGCCATATTTTGAACATGTGTCGCCGTCACAAGAATCCCTTCACTCCATTCAGAACTGCATGCAAATAGGCACTTTGAGAGACCTAACATATCAGAGACCTGTCCCCTGACTTGCGGATTTGTGCTATCGATCGCTGAGGTTTTGCCAACACTCAACAGTGCAAGGCTATTTGAGTTGGAATAGATATTAGAGATTATCTGACCAAAGCCAGAGAATTTATGATTTTTCCCAAGCTCGTGTGGCTGAACAGAGCTCAGAGTCAAATTGCCTTCTGTTCCCAGATCCACTACCCACATCACCGAAGTGCTTTGCAAATGCCCATCTGGCTGGAGCTGATGCATTAGGCTTTCTATAGCCCACCTCAGAAATAACGTTTCTTTGTACTCACAAAGAATGAACTGACATTCTGCAGAAATCTTTGTGGCTGTTAGAAACTTCTCTGAAAATTTAAGAATAAGTGATAGAAGCACAAATAATAATCAGACAACTTTAATCAAGTATTTTATCCCCTTTTCATACATAAAATCTATATAAAATTATAGTTCTCCATCAAAATCCCCTTTACATGCAGCAAAGTCTATAAAAGGTCAAGTTATAGTGGTTCCATTATAAAATTTGAGGAAATACACGTATTGTATTTTTGAGTAAAATGTATTCAAGACATTCTTGTAGCCTGTGTACATTGCTAATTGGCCTAAAACAACCAAATCACAAGCCATTCTGGCTTTATCCTCCTGTGATTCCTAACCTGCCATTGTTTCTTCCAAAAATGAAGTAAGCCAGAACCCACAAAGCAAAATATTTTTATGAAGATGCTTCGGCTTTCAATTAAATTTGGATCCCTCAGCAACTCTTGTGAGTGCCAGGTTCAGAGGAAAGGAAACTACACAGATAATATCAAGAAAGTCAAAGGTTCTTCTCACAAAATGAAGTTAAACCCACAGAAGGTAAAAGTTTGGATAATTCAAGTGAGGTTGTCCGACCTTTCATAAACCTTCAGATTGTTACAGTTTCTTGGGAACATTTTAAATATACCAACAGATTGAATAAGGCCAGCAACTAAATCTCATTAGAAACACACAAACTCCTGAGGCAAAGTCTTTCTCAAGAAACCCCCACAAGTAGACGGTATTGCTCTGGGTTTGAAAGTCCTTGCATTTACAATATGAAGTTTTCAGTTTCAAAAGAGAAGAAAATGTTCATCCAAGCACTGGAGAGGTACATGGACTGGCAGCTCAGATCAGTCTGGGCTACAGAGTTAGTTACAGGATAGCCTTGGCTACATTAAAAAAAAGTATGATTTTAGAAAATCAGATACATTGAACTGAAAATGTGATTTTTGTCCAATTATAATTGGCATGCCAATTACAATAAAGTGTTTTAGGGGAGAAAGTAATAATACAAAAAGAAATATCTGAAAATTACGATATAGGAAAGGAAAAACAAAACATTAGAGAAATTACATTTCTAAGAGAATTTCTCAGGTTGGCATCATGAATTTTGCCGAAAGCCAGAAAAATGCAGGTCATTGAGTCATAATGAATTTGAGTTGTCTTACACTAGAACAACCCTGACCCTCCACATAGTCTTTCAAGATCACACATCCCACTTTCCATGGTTCCTGAAATTCTTACTCTTCCTATCACAGGCTTAAGACAAGCATACGCACAGGCTCTGAGGCAGTATTTTAGAATATGGTTTTCTGTTGTTTCTTATAATTTTATCTCCCATTGAAATCTACAAGTCTCTACCATCTTGACACGGGAGAACTTTTCCAAAGACCAATACGTGGGCCAATCATCTGCATATCATTGAAAGGAGTGCGTTTTTCTCCATCCAGAGGCATCATATGCTCTGCTAACTGTAAAGTGGGCCCATGCTCGAGGTCAAAGACGAGGCTGTTTCTTACACAACCCAGGTCAAACCGGCATGCCAACTACTCAAAATGAAGAACAGCAGTGTTCAAATGGTCCTGATGGGCCATGGTTCAAGAGAAGAGAGCCTCTCCTCATGTGCCACCGTGAACCAGTATCTGCCACAGAAACTACCAAAGTTCAAGTGAACTAAACCAAATAGCCACAACGACAAGTAAATAATCAATTAAACAACTAATTAAACAATTAAATCTTTTACATGTAATTGATTAGTGTACATCATGTGTACATGTGGAAGTCAGAAGACAACTTGCAGGGAAAGTTCCCCTCCTTCCAGCATGTGGGTTCCAGGGACTGAATCTACCACATCGCAGACCTGTTGGAAAGGGCTTTTTCACCTGCTGAACCGTTTCATGGGCCCCTAGAAATTTAAACCTATCAAAACAGCCAACGCATACACGGAAGTTCTAGAACATTGGTAGCCACCAATACATGAACTTTGTTGTCAGGTTCATTAGGTTTCATACAGATCTCAGAACAAAATCATTCCTGCTATCTCTAGACACATGCTTCAAACTGGTTCATGACTATGAAAACTGCAGTTCTGCATTGTTTTGGGGAGGAGGTTAATTCAGATGTGTGAAAATTCACTCACGTAATTTGGTACAAACAGGATAGAACTAAAGCCAATGTGAGCTGCACTCAGATACCAAGCAGTGCTTAAACACTTCAGTTTCGAACAGGCTGCCACCTTGGCAAAAGAAAGCAATAATAAGTGTAATAAGTGTGCAAGTGACTTCTTACATTTGGAAAGCATTCCATTATTGACAGTGTTTCTAGGACCAGTGTCATTGAATATTAAGTGTGCAAGGCAAGCTGTTACCATCTTCCTCTGTCTCCCTTGTTTTTCTATAAACTGGCACTAACGGTAGACACTGTACTTGCTTTAAAGGATTTATGTTTTGTTTCGTGTTTTGGGCACATGTATTTGGTGATGGTGTGTTAACTACTGACTGGTATCAAGAGGCATACAATATCTACTTTTTCCATTTTTAGCAAGGCCACCATTGATAGTTGATTTCCAGAGGCCTCATTCCATGAATTTCCCACACATTCACCTGATCATTTTAGTAACTATTGATGATAGTTCCCTAAATCCACTGACTCTATGGAGATTTAAGTAGTAGCAATCTAACCCTTTTTTCTCTTGATTTATTTTTATTTTTAGTTACGTGTCTGTGGGATGGAGAGACATCTCAGTGTTTAAGAGCACATACTGTTTGCTCTTGCAGAGGGCCTGAATTCAGTTCCCAGGATCCATGTTGGATGGCTCAAAGCCACCTACAACTCTAGCTCCAGGGAATCTAAGGCCTCGGGCCTCCAAGAGCATCTGCACACACACACACACACACACACACACACACACACATTTCTTCTTCTTCTTCTTCTTCTTCTTCTTCTTCTTCTTCTTCTTCTTCTTCTTCTTCTTCATTGTCTCTCTCTTTCTCACACATATAATTAAAATACCAAAGATAAATATTTTTAAACTATAACTGTGTTTATGTGACTGTATATATGTGTAGATAGGTATTCAAGGGTGCAAATACTCAAAGAAACCAGAGAGGGCATCTCAATGTGGAGTTGCCAGCGAGTTATGAGCCATCTGACATTGGTACTGAGAAACAAACTCAGGTCTTCTGCAAAAGGACTACGTTCTCTTAACTACTGAGAATCTCTTGAGTTCCTCTCCTGAATTTCCAAGCTGTTCTTCTCTTACAAGTGAGAACTTTGTCTCATTGGCTATTCATTTATCCTGAAATCAATCAAACCCAGATTGTGGAGAAAATATATGGGAGAAATAATCCAGTTTCTTTAGCAAATAAATGTGGTTTAAAAAACAAAGAGAAGGTGATGACTGTTGTAGATTAAACTGGACTTAGAAAGTGCACATGTGATTGATTCTTAATTTTAACCTCAATCAAAATGCAGCTGTTTCTGGTTGGGGTTTATTAAGGACACATTTGAGGGACTGAAGGGTATAGCTTGATTGTAGAACACTTGCATATCATGCATGAGGCCCTGGATTCTACCCTCACCAGCACAAAAGAAAATGTTTTATATAATCAGAAAAATTGAAAACTAACTGTATATTAGATGTTAAGTATGGTTTTGGTAAGAGTCTTGTTATTGTAAGAGTCTTTTTTATGGTCTATTTAACTTTATTTTATATACATTGGTGTGAAGGTGTCAGATTCCCTGCAACTGGATCTTCAGACAGTTGTGAGCTGCCACGTGGGTGCTGGGAACTGAACCCAGGTCCTCTGGAAGAGCAGTCAGTGCTCTCAACCACTGAGCCACCTCTCCAGCCCCTTGTAAGAGTCTTTTATATTAGCTCAGACAATGAAATATTCACAGTGAAAAGATACGTTTTAGCTATGCTATAAAATATTTTAGCCTCCAAAAAGGAAAGGTTTAAATTTGATAAAAAAATAGCACAAAGTTGAGGGTATTGATGTTAGGTTCATAAATACATAGGTGCTTATTGCTCATTTTCATTTTAAGTGGTAGTTTTCTTCATGAAAAAATATTAGAAAAAATAAGTCAATTGTTTGTCTAAGTCCAGGAATGGGTGAAAAATAAAATAGTTACCATTTGCAAAGATGCATCATCGTGTGAATCAAAATCATCCACCACTCCACAGAGGGTGTAAATTACATATGGACGACAGTCTCCTTCTTACTTTGAAATAACATCTAAAGTATTTGGAAGACTATCATAATAGTCCTGTAATTGAGAATAATCGTCTTAAAATCTGGCTTTAAACATCGAGTACTCCATCCACATTGAAGAGGGGCTGATTGAATTGCACCATCATTGTGTCTCACATTATGAGATGGCTCAATAGCATGTTGCTACTTCATCATCCAACACAGACACACAGCTGCCTCTGGAACTAAAACTTTCCTTCTGAGTGAGAATCCTTTCAACAACCAAAGATTTTTCTTGCCACCTATCACTGTCTACACTTAAGAGGTCAGGAATCTATAGTTTTCAGGCCAGCTCGTCACATACTTCATCTAAAGCTGCTTTTCCAGGTACAATGGCAAAGCTCAATAGTTGAAATAGAGACCAGATGGCTGGCAAGACCTCAAATATGAACCATCTGTCCCTTTATAGAAAACACATTGCCCACCTCTTACTTAGCTCAAAACAGAAGCTCCGTGGTTTTGATTTTTGGAGAGGTGGCTTATGTTGGATGAGGAAATATGCTAAATAGTTTTATTGTCCTACAGTTTTTATATTGATATATCATTAATATGTTCTGCTTTGATGAAGGGCAGCTTAGGGTAGAAATCAATGTTCAATAGCATCATTATTTTTCTTCTATGGAAGAACAAACACAGCAGGGTGAATGCATAAAATGAGTTGGGAAATGTTATTTGAATTCCTACAACCCCCTTTCATTGATGAATCTTTTGTGGTCCGTAACTTTCTGACAACCTCCTAATTTCACCAATGCAATCCACCTCAGGGCACAGCCAACTGCTCCCTGCCTTTATACTCCTTCTCCCAGCAGAAAAAAAAAAATGTGCTTAGAATAAGTTCTGCTTTACCTTTTGAAAGGGAGGAGGACAGATTCAGATTGAACTTGACAATGGGGATGTAGGCGTGTGTGCAAGTTGTTCCTGAAAGGGGAACAAGGCATCTGGCATGTGTTGCCCCTTCTGTCAGAGGAACAAGGAGGTGAGGGAAAGAGCAGAGTTCAGAAAGTCTTCTGTTATCACGGGAGACCCAGAAACCTCTCCCAGCTGGAATTTCCATGCTCAGAGAAGCCATCTGAGAGTGAGAACAGGGATCACTTGAAAGCCACACACAGGGTCACTGAAAGGCTGGCAACATTCTACTAATGATCTACACCCTGCAAATCTTGGACTTCTAATGATCTACTCTCTGCAAATCTTGGAGCAGGGCATAATTCTAGATCCTAAAGTTCAGCTGAATTTTTGCCTCACCATTTCATTAAGTCAGCATGAATTTCTGCCTTTAGGAAAGCACCCGAACTGGGGATTGTAGCACAGTTGGCAGAGTGGTTTCCTAGCATTCATGAGCACTGCATAAACATAGCATGGTGATACAAACCTGTAATCTCAGTACTCAGGAGGTAGAGGCAAGTGACAGGAGTTCAAAGTCACCCTGGGGTACACCACAAGCTTGAGGACAGCAAGGGATACTTGAGGATAAACGAAAAGAAAAAGACACCCTAAAGGGTTAATCTTAGCATGAACAAACAGCCTTGGCTATACCTTCAAGATATGTTCATTGGACGCCTTGTCATCGGGGGACACATACAAACGGATGAACACAGAATTGCTGTATTGGCCACGGAATGTTGCAAGCGTTTGCAAGAGGCTGAATTTTCTCTCCGACCAAACCCCTTCAGGACCAATATTAGCTTCAAGCACAGGCCAGCGGAACGGTGAATGCCGCAAGATGTGGAGCAGGGGCTTGGTGTCTGCTTTTTCAATTGCTTCTGAAAGGGAGTGGACACAAAGGGCAAGTTAGAATTGTAAACTAGAAGCCAGGTACCATGACTCATCCCTCAAGTCCTGCACTCGAAAAGAAGAGGCAAGAAGATCAGAAATTCTAGGTGACCCTCAACTACACAGTGATTGCTCAAAGCCAACCTGGGCTCCCTGAGACCTTGACTCAAAACACTGAAAATGAACTGCAAACTGGATCACCAAGCTAGAGTGCAAATGTCTCTTCTCAACCTGCTGGATGTTCTCTATAATGAAGATGGGCTTACTTGCACAGACCCCTGCCAGTGAATGAAATTAAGCCAGTGGTACTTATTATTGGCACCAAGGAACAACCCTCATTAACAATAGGGTTCAGTTATGACAAGGATGCCCCGGTGAATAGTTGCTTCTAGCATATCAAACGATATCCCCAAATCCTACCGAAATCAACTACCACACTTTCTGGAAGCACTTGCTTCAACTCTGGAATGGCCTTGAAAGATCACGTTGAGGTCTTTGTCTCCCAACGAGAATGCTAGGAGGAGCCTGTCATGCCTAGAAATCTAAAGTTCCAGTGGCTTCTATGGAACATAATTTTCCTAAGTATTTGCCCTCTCAGGTTTTGTCTGGAGCCAGAACTGGCCTGGCTATGGATTCAAATTTATTTTTTTACTAGATACAATGAGTTTTTCCCTGCTGCCCTATCAAAATTTCTAATATAGGAACTGACACAGAAATAATCCAGTCACAGAGAAGATCATTTTCTTGAGGCTGGAGAGATAACACAGTTGTTAAGAGCACATGCTGTCCTTGCAGAGGAACCGAGTTCAGGTCTCCACACTCATGGTGGGCAGTACACAACAGCATGACCCTCCAGCTTCAAGGGCTCCTACAGCCTCGCCTGGTCTCCATCTGCACTCACGCACTCAAGTGCACACACCCACACACATATACACACAGTTATAAACATCAAATAACAAAATCAAAATGTCTTTAAAAGATTATTTTCCACTACAACAGTACAGATTCTCTAAGAAAGATTCATCAAAATCCAGTCTTTGAGACTTTTTATTATTTTTAAAAAAAACACCTTTAAGCATTGATAGAATTTCAGTTTTCTCTTCCTTAACAATGCCTTTAAACATTAATAGAATTCTGAGGGATAAGGATCATAAATATTTATTTTCTTTATTACTCACTCTCATTCATGCAGGATGAATAAAGGATTTTGGCTTTCTGTACGGCTTCAATGTCCCGCCTTCGACTGACTGATTTCTCCAGAAGTGCTACGAAGGTGAAAATAGAATTCATTAGTATCTGCCTGTATATGATGTCAGATTGAAGGTCAGCCTCCAGAAAATTAAATACCAAGACAAACAACTCTGGAGAATACCAGGAGTGCAGACATCAGGGAAGATTCCAAAGCTACTTGAGGTCCAAATAAAAACAATTGAACATTATTTTATCCAAGGTTCTCCTAACTCAAAAGAAACTGAATGTTCACCAGCCATCTGAGGCTAGACTTTCTGCAGGGGTTAATTTCTGCTGCCACCTACACAAAAGAAAGCTGACTTCATTTATTAAAAAACCAAAAATAATTCAGTCTGTTGTTTCTGTACCAAACAATACTCTCAATGGAGGCAATTTCATCTGGGTTAAGTTTCTTACCATTCTTTTTTCATAACTCAGCCTCTCAGGGAGGTCACCCGGAAGAAAATTTCTCATTACAAGTCTTATTTGGTATTGTATAACATGTACATGAAAAAAAGTTCTCACAACAGGAAATAAAGAATCAAGATTGGAAAGCCTACCCAAATTGTCTGAAAATGTGCCCATTCCCACATGCAAAGTCCTGGAGAAGCAAATGAGGTCATGTACAAAAACTGTTTGCCAGACCTTCTTGGAAAATTATTTTCTATTTATAAAATCATTAATAAGATTGTTTGAAGGTAAAAAAAAATGGTTGTTGTCGCTCTTCTTTCACATAAGGAAAGAAGAAGGCCAGAACACAGTGGAAACAAATTTCTTCTCAGGGAAGGGGGGCGGGGATTGCACTTGACTTGAGAGTATCAGTTTACCTTCACGAAGCCAAGTTGATGAATCCCTAGGGTGGACTGTAGCCCCTTTGGCCCTGCCTATTTCCACTATGTAAGACGGCTTCTGACAGGAAGCACACTTGAAATCCTCCAAAAAATCAGCGGAAAAGATGGTTTATATCTCTCCCAAAGGCTTCACGGCACAATGTACAATGCTAATAAATTTGATAAAACACACACACACATTCCAAGGACTGACATCTAAACCATAAGTTCCACATTCCAAAAACTGCAATCCAAAGTTCTTGTCCAGGGTATTTTGTTTTTGTTTTTTTTAAAATATATTTTATTGTTTCCATGTGTCGCTGTGTGTCTTTGTATGCATGTATATGTACTTGTTTGCAAGGGCCACCAAAGGCCAGAAGAGGGGTCCCCTGGAGCTAGAGTTACAGGCAGTTGTGAGTGGCCCATTGTGAGTGCTGGGAACTCTGCCAGAGCACCAAGCATCCCTCACTGCCAACAGTCTCTCAAGGCCTACTTGGCTTTTGTCTCTATGAGAACCGGTACATAGACCAAGCCCAGGATACTAGACAGAGTCTAGCAAACTAACCTCTGGTTGAAGGTGAACATTTTCAACAACTTGTTTGGGGCTTCTTGTGTATCGTCACAGCAAGAAACATTGGGAAACTTGCTCCAGAAATAAAGGAGTTTGTTTTGTGGGGTTTTGTCTTTTTCAACAAAGTTCTCAAACCACATCCATACATTCTTCATTCAAGCCATCTTACATGCCTGTCACATTAGACTGTCACACATTAGACTGTCACATAATGACTTTCTGTCATTAGACTATTGGAAAGACACATTCAGAAGTAAATAATCCACATTTCATTGAGGGTTCTTAGTTAGGGTTTTATTGCTGCGAAGAGATACCATGACCATGGCAACTCTCATAAAGAAAACATTTAGTTGGGGCTGGCTTACAGTTTCAAAGGTTCAGTCCATTATCATCATGGCAGGGAACATGGTGGTGTGCAGGCAGACTTGGTGCTGGAGGAAAAGCTGAGTCCTACATCTTGCAGGCAACAGGAAGTAGACTAAACACTGGGTTGGGTGATATCCTCAGCATAGAAAACCTCGAAGCCAGCCCCCACCGTGATACACTTCATCCAACAAGGCCACACCTCCTTAGTGCCACTCCCTCTGGGGGGGCCACTTTCTTTCAAACCACTACAGGTTCGGATGAGGTTTCAGTATTATAAACACCCTGCAGGCTGCAAACATGACTACCTGAAGGGCCAAGAAAGAAGCCATAGGAGCAAAAATAAGCACCAGTCTTTAATCAGTCCTAAAATCCTAACCATGCACAAATACCAATAATTTACCAATAATTACAAATACCAATAATTTACACTGGACAAAATTCTGGTTTCTGTAACAGAATTTGGCTTTTCAAACAGATTTAGCTGATGCTAGGTTCTTTGTCCTATCCTTTGTCTTCTTCTCTTGGCTTTCTCTCTGTATCAAAACAGACGGAGAAGCACTGCTATGCAGATAGTGATGTGGCAATCAGCTCCCAGCACTATTTTCTTGATCTCTGCATGTGAATTAATCAGAAGAAGAAGAATATCAAGCCTGGAGAGTATTAATAAGCAGAAAATAATACCTGCCTATCACAGGCAATTATTCAAGTTATTAAAATGTCTCCAAAATGTGGAAAGGTCCCATAGGTCATTAACACAGGGCTTTTCCAGCATAGCCGGTGTTGTTTAGTGGAAGATTTTCGATGCTTCCTACTCTTTCCTATAGGAAACAAAAATGCCAATTCATAGAATCTTAAGACAGCCTACATCAAACTTCACATTTGGCTGGAAAAAAATATGTTCTCCTCAAATTATCTTAAAACTGCATATAGTAAGCCAGGTAGTGGTAACACAAGCCTTTAATCCCAGCACTTAGTAGGCATGTGAATTTCTGTGAGTTCAAGGCTAGCCTGATCTACAAAATGAATTTCAGGACAGCCAAGGCCGCACAAAGAAACCCTATCTAGAAAAAAAAAAAAACAACAAACAAACTCAAAACAAAAAAAAAAAATCCTGCATATGGGAAGTATTTTTCTCCTCACTAAGATCAAATAAAACTGGTTTCAAAAAATAAGGCGGCTAGGTACAGTAGCTCAGACTTGTCACTCCAGCTCTAGGGAGACTAAGACAGGAGAACTCCTGTGACTTTTGGGCCAATTTGAACTAAAGAGTGAAAAACATATCAAGATAAAAGGCTTCCAAGTCCCACAGACATGAGCTCCAGTTTCAGTTCGCTGATACCTCCTAGCTAGAATGGAGGCAAGTTATTTAATGTCTCTAAGGTTTTAGCATTTTTGTCTGCAAATTTGGATTATACTATACACCCCCAGGGTTGGTGACGATTTTCAAACTTTAATGCATCAAGAATTTCTAGCTCAGAGCCCAAACACATGCTGAAGTCAGTGGTGGCTGGGCTGTGGATGCGGCTCAGTTGGTCGGGCAGACACCTAACATGAAAGAAGCCCTAGGTTTAACATCAGCACAGAATAAATTGGACATGGTGGCACATGCCCGTTCTTTCAGGACTCGGGAAGTGGGAATATGAAGATGGAAACTTCAAGGTCATCCACGGGTACATAGCAAGCAAACTGAGAGCCTATCTCTCAAAAAAGACAAAACAAAGGGGCTGGAGAGATGGCTCAGAGGTTAAGAGCATTGCCTGCTCTTCTAGAGGTCCTGAGTTCAATTCCCAGCAACCACATGTGGCTCACAACCATCTGTATTGAGATCTGGTGCCCTCTTCTGGCCTGAGGGCATACATGGAGGCTTAACACTGTGTACATAATAAATAAACAAATCTTTTTAAAAAAAAGACAAAACAAATAAACAAAAACAAAAACCTAGTAGCTTAATCTGGATGACAGACCAAGTTAACCATATCCAAAAGTGGATTGTTATCAATCTTCCTACTGTGTCGTCTATAACTATTTGTACTTTCCTCCTCCTGTTTCAGGTGTGGTGGCTATCAAGATACTCCCTTTCTCTGCATTGGATGCTTTCTCAAAGACCCCGCTGTAGACACTTTGCAGAACTCTGCGGTTCTGCGCTTTTCCTCTGCCTCCATAGCACAGAAAATGCCGGGTAGCTATCTGTTAGTCATTAGTGATCTCAAAGCTGCTTGGCTTATGTGCTTCATCCTGGACAGCAAGGCCCTGTTTTTCCAAATACAAACATTTTCAATCCAATTATAGTATGTATTCAACAGAAAATGCCCAGATCATAATTTGAAAAAAATTCTGCAATGTAAACACACAGAAGTAAGCGAGATTTTTACCAAAATCCCAGAAGCCCTATGGTCGCTTCCTTATCACTGCCCCCAACCAGGATTCTGAATGGATATTTTTGCTTGGTTTTGTGGCCTTTCACTGAACCGAAGACCTGGTTATGCTGAGCAGTCTTCTGCTGAGCCTCACCTCTGCGTCCATTGTTTGCTCAACTCTGTTTCACAATACTTGCATAATTTAACTTGTTCTTTTGATTTATAAAAGATCCTCCTATAGTCCCCACATCTCCTTTTTGAGGACTGACAAAATCTTTTCCCATTCTGTAGTTCTTATTTTCTTCCTGGTATCTTGCGATGAAGTGAAATTTCGAATTTTAATGTAGTTCTATTTCTCCCTTTCTCCCTCTATGATTAATTCTATTTGTTATTTTTTTTTAAAATCTACCCCCAAATCAATACAATGACCTACATTTTCATCTAGAATCTTCATTGCTTCATATTTATACCTACAGCCCATTTATAATTTCTTTTTGTCCATGATGTGGACAACCAAGGTTGGCCTTACCGGGGATGAATCATGAAAAAGGTTTAATAAGTAAGATATATTGGTCAATTCTTCTCAAATGATATCACCAGATACATTTTGGCATGAAAAAAATGGCACCGACATTCTTGGTACAGCCGCAGCTTAGCTCTTTCGCACTGGCTCTCTCAGCCTTTCCTTTCAGACCATCTCCATCCCCTTGTATCAGTTGCCTATTCCCAGGGACCCCAGTATCCACACTGGACTGTAACTCAGGTAGGTTATGCTCACTGTCTTTCACACCATCCCTTAAATTGTTTATCTCCAAGGCTCCTCTTAGCCCTATAGCAGCCTTCTTGCAGGATCCCTGCCTCCCAACACACCCCCATTCCCTGAGGACTCTGCCTCTTGGTTCTGAACAATT